GGCCAGAAAGAATGGAGGCTTGGGGTCTCACAGGAAATGTGACCATGTCACCTGGTACTGGAATCCATCTTAAACCTGGTGCTTTTCCATTTAGAAGGAGGGTGTGACATTGTGCAGTCTATATGGTTTTATAAAAACATGATAAGAAGTGAATATAAGGTAACTGGGATAGTTTTATAAAGATTTGATTATAAATGAATATGCTTTGTGCAAAAGGTCTCTTGTAAGGTATCATTACAAAGTTCATAATCTACTGAGTGTGATCATCCTATTTGTAGAAATGTACCACTCTAGTATCTAAAACTAGAAATATAAAACATAACTGAGGGCCTATTGTAATTATGTAAAGTGTGGGCCATTAATGATGGTTTGGAATCTTGATGACTCCCATTAACAAGGACCATTGTCTGCAGATGGCTGTGTTTACCTGTTAGTCTTCCTGTATATGTGTGTGCTGGCAAGTGGGCAATGAAGTCTTGCAGTGACATGTGATCATGTCACCTGAACTGGAATCCATCTTTAACCTGGTGCTTTTCCAGTGAGGGGGGTGGAAACCCAGAGGGACAAAGGGTTCCCGCCTTATGCAAAAGATATATAAAGGGGTGGAAGAGAACAAAGGGGAGAGGAGCCATCATGAAGAATCCCCTAGCTATCACCTGAGCTGCAACAAGAGCTGTACCAGGGGAAAGAATTGTGCCAAGGCCTGGAAGGTGTCCAGTCTGAGGGTGAGATTATCTGTATTCAGTTTGATTAGACATAGATTTGCGCATTTTATTTTATTTTGCTTGGTGACTTACTTTGTTCTGTCTGTTACTACTTGGAACCACCTAAATCCTATTTTCTGTATTTAATAAAATCACCTTTTTCCTTATTAATTAACAGAGTATGTATTAATACCTGGGGGAGCAAACAACTGTGCATATCTCTCTATCAGTGTTATAGAGGGTGAACAATTTATGAGTTTGCCCTGCATAAGCTTTATACAGGGTAAAACGGATTTATTTGGGTTTAGACCCCATTGGGAGTTGGGCATCTGAGTGCTAAAGACAAGCACACTTCTGTGAGCTGTTTTCAGGTAAACTTGCAGCTTTGGGACAAGTGATTCAGACCCTGGGTCTGTGTTGGAGCAGACTGAGTGTCTGGCTCAGCAAGACAGGGTGCTGGAGTCCTGAGCTGGCAGGGAAAACAGGAGCAGAGGTAGTCTTTGCACATCAGGTGGCAGCTCCCAAGGGGGTTTCTGTGATCCATCCCGTCACAGAGGGGTGGGGACCCAGAGAGACTAAAGATTCCCACCTTGGGCCAAAGCCATAAAAGGGAGTGGAACAGAACAAAGGGGGCTGCAGTCATGAGAAATCCCTTAGTTACCACCTGAGCTGGAAATAACAAGAACTGTACCTGGAGAAAGGATCGTACTCAGGCTAAGGAGTCTAGTCTGTGAAAAAGCTTATTGGAACATCTGAGGATGAGATTTACCTGTATTCACTTTCTTAATGTATTAGGCTTAGACATGTGTGTTTTGTTTTATTTTACTTTACTTGGTAACTTACTTTGTTCTGTCTATTATTACATGAAACCACTTAAATCCTACTTTTTATACTTAATGAAATCACTTTTGTTTATTAGTAAACCCAGAGTAAGTGATTAATACCTGGGGGAAGCAAACAGCTGTACATATCATTCTATAGTGTTATAGAGGGCGGACAATTAATGAGTTTACCCTATATAAGCTTTATACAGAGTAAAACGGATTTGGGAGCTAGGTGTCTGGAGACAGGAATACCTACTGAGTGGTTTTCAGTTAAAGTCTGCAGCTTTGGGGGTGTTTTTCAGATCTGGGTCTGTGTTATAGCAGACTACCATTGTCTGGCTCAAGGCAGGGTTCTGGAGTGCCAGGCCAGAGGTAGTTTCAGCACATCAGGTGGCAGTCCCAAGGGGGTCTCTATGACCAAACCCGTCACAATAGGGTTGCACACACTTGGGAGCTTCTGCAATTCTGCATTATACTTAGGGCCCTACCAAATTCATGGCCGTGAAAAATGTGTCATGGAACAAGAAATCTGGTCTTCTGTGCCCTTTTACACCCCCTACCCCCCCCCCCCCCCCGTGAAAACTGGTCTTTTGTGCGCTTTTACACCCATACTATACCAATTTCATGAGGGAAACCAGTATTTCTCAAATTGAGGGTCCTGGCCCAAAAGGGAGGAGGAAAAGCACAAGGTTATATGGAGGGGAGTGGGGGGAGGGGACGAGGAGATGTTTCACGACACTGACTCCCTCACTTCTGCGCTGCCTTCAGAGCTGGGCGTCTGGGAAGTGTTGGCTGGGCACCCAGTTTTGAAGGCAGCAAGGACGAAGTAATACTATACCATGTCACACACTCCTCCCCCCCACCCCCCCGCAGTAGGGCAGAAGTAATACTATACCATGCCACCCTTACTTCTGCACTGCTGCCTTCAGAGCTGGGCAGCCGGAGAGTGGCGGAGGCTGACTGAGGACCCAGCTCTGCAGGTAGCCGCTCTGACTTCAGAGCTCGGCTCCTGGCCAGGAGCTGCCGCTCTCCAGCTGCTCAGCTCTTAAGGCAGCGCTGCTGCCAGCAGCACAGAAGTACGGGGTGGCAGTACAGCAACCACCCCCTCCCCCATATAGCCTTGTGATTCCCCACCCCCACAACTCCTTTTTGGGTCAGGACCCCTACAATTACAACACCGTGAAATTTCAGATTCAAATGGCTGAAATCATGAAATTTACGATTTAAAAAATTCTGACTGTGAAATTGACCAAAATGGACCATGAATTTGGTAGGGCTCTAATTATATCATATCCCATCTCTGGAAGATACACACCTTTTGAATATTGTAGTCAGACAGCGTGCGTCCATCTTCCAACTGCTTGCCAGCAAAAATAAGTCGTTGTTGATCAGGAGGAATTCCTAATGAGAAGTGAATCAAGATTAAATAGAAAAATCTACTCAAATTTCCTATAAGAGTAGAGTCAAAAGGAATGCTGACTACAGAAATAAAATTTACAAAACATAGATGGCAGGATATGAAGATACACTTACAAAACTTTTCTGTAAGTGACATTTAATTTTGATACTAGTGACCATAGAAAATACTATCAGATTTCTAGGGAATGATATTTGAGGTAAGCTGCTCTTTATCTAAAGGAGAATGATCAGAGTAGGGAACACAGGAGTCCAAAAAGCACTGAACTTACCTTCCTTATCCTGGATCTTGGCCTTCACATTTTCTATAGTATCAGAAGGCTCAACCTATTATTAAAAAAAAGTGGAAAACCAGTCAAAACTCTGAAGTAGAATTATATCAGCTATATACATCTATGAAATTTTGTCAGTGAAAGCTACAGGCCAGATTTTCTAAGGGGCATCAAGCCAATATTATTTATCTGCAGTGACACTCATTTGCACACAATGATGTACAAAAACAGAAGCCATGCTTTCAAACTGTGGACCCAAATTTTAAGTCTTTCAAAGCAACTGATAAAAATAGCTTATTTAGCTGAAACATAAGAAACCTAATTTGTATATTCTATTTCAACTGACAGTAAAAGTTTTCTACATGCATTTATCAACCCCATTTACAAGACTCTTAAGGACAAAATTATATTTTCAAGATTCCTCATGAGTCTGAAATTCTCCTTCCTACATTCATGAAACCACCTGGAGGGAGAGTTCTGCATGTTGGGGAAGAAGATTACAATGATTCCTTACAAGTTTGTAAATTAATGGGGCTTTATTATATTCTCAGTGCATTTAGTTTATACATTTGATAGCACTGTGCCTAATCAATGTCTCCTATTTGTGTAGGTCTTTCAGACAGCAACAGGAGGGAAGCATTTGGCAGAACATGAAAGTGGGATTATAGAACCACAAAAACAGGTAATCAAGGGCAGGTTTAGTATTTTAAACAGTGAACTCATTTTTATGCATTGGCTGGATCTTGAATGTTTCAATTTCAACCATAACCTTTAGACACCGCCTAGAGAGGAGGCGGATTAAAACGCCCCCTCCCTCCGGGAGATATTTAGGGTGTTCCTGGTGGGCTTTCCCGTTCTGTGCCTCCTTAGGCAGCCTGCTCCGAACTGTCCCAAAAAGAGGCCGCTCACACGAAGTTTCAAAAAACAAAGCCACCCTTGCCCGAGGGCTGAGCCGAGCACTGGCTGGCAGCGGCGAGAAGGGCCCGGGCCGCGCGTGGGAGCGTTCCGTGGGGAACTGCAGCCGTAAGCAGGGGCCCTTCGCGTCTCCAGAAGAGCTCGGCCCCTTGCCCCCCACCCAGCGTCCGCGTCCCCTACGGACAGACACGGGCCATGTGCGCCTAGGGGGCCACCATTTCCTCCCAGGACGCCTTCAGATGGGGGAGGTCGCATGTTCCCTCCGACCCCCACACAGGACACCTATACATGTGGGGGAAGGGTGCATATCCCCCCGCCCCACGCACAGGGGGCCTGCTACTAGGGGAGGGTGCACCCCCACTCACGGCCGGGCGGCCCCTGGCGCACTCACCTCGAGGGTGATGGTTTTCCCGGTCAGGGTCTTCACGAAGATCTGCATGGCGCGGCTGGCACCTGCGGGCAAAGAGAGCGCGGTCAGATGAGCACACGGTGAGGGGAGCAGAGGGGGGTGGGGGAGAAGCGAACACTCACCACCAACCTGCTCGCGGAATGGCGGATGCCGGAAAGAGAGCCCAGCTCGGTCCGCACGGGGTTTCCAGCCTAGGGAAAGGAGGGACCTCCAGGCCGGCGCGCCACTGCGTGCGTGCGTGCGTGACTACAACTCCCAGCATGCACCGCCGGTACAAGGCACACCAGGGCTTCCTGGGGATTGTGGTTTCCATGTTGGCATGAAGGGGGACGTCTGAAAGGGCTGATGGGAGTTGTAGTCGGAAGTTGGGCGCGCAAGAGGGGAAGAAACTACATTTTCCACAATGCCCCTGACTGAACTCCTCCCTCCCTCCGCTCCTATAGAGCGTAGTTACCAGCAACGGCCGCTGCGGCCGACCGGGATGTGAATGGGCTGAAGTACCGCCGCGGCCTGAGTGGGGTCCGCGAGCTCAGTCTGCAGTTCCGCGGTAGCGAACAGCCGGAGAGCGGACTGGCCGGGGAGCTCGCCGGGTTCGCGGGTGCCGCGCTGCGGCCAGGGCCCGGCGCTGCGATTCGGGTTCGGCTCTGCGCTGTGATCCAAAACCCTGGCGCGGGCCCGACTCCTCCCCAGTGCCCCCAGCGTTGTTTGTGGGCTCCCCCTTGGTTTCTACGGCGGCGGGCCCGTGCGGGGAAGCCCTTAGCCGCGCCCCGCTGAGCTCAGTTCCTGAGCTGGCGCTGGGGATAAAGCAGAAAGGAGCAGCGAGGTCGGGTTGTGGGGTGATGCGGGAACTGTCTGTCCCAGCAGAACAGAAGGGGTTGCTACGCTCGGGCAAACCTGGGGCACTCAACGGGGGTAGCAGGAAAACATGGCTAGCCTAGGGCACATTCAGTTCTGCTAATGCCGGACTTCTGGGAAACGCCATAGAGGCATTCAGTAATAAATGCAGGGATTGGACTGGTTGACCTAGGAGCTTTAGGGCTTGTCTACACTACCCGCTGGATCAGCGGGCAGCGATCGATCCAGTGGGGGTCGATTTATCACGTCTAGTCTAGACGCAATAAATCAACCGCTAAGCACTCTCCCGTCAGCTGCGGTACTCCACCAGGGCGAGAGGTGCAGGCAGAGTCGACGGGAGAGCATCAGCCATCGACTTACCGCAGTGAAGTAGATCTAAGTACATCGACTTCAGCTATCTTATTCACATAGCTGAAACTGTGTAACTTACTGTAGATTGATTCCCCCCAGTGTAGACCAGGCCGCAGAGCCACCAGTGTGGAGCAACTTGCAGACTCGGGGTCTTTTGTAGCAAAATAGAGATGACTTCCACAACCGCCCTCTGATTAGTATCACCCCTGAGTGCCAGATGCAGTGAAAAATGGCTAGATTTGGAAGTGATGGTAGGGAAATGGTACAAAGTACATAGGAAAGAAACCTAGAACGGATGTTCATGAGATGTAATAGTTTATGTGGAAATAGTAAGAAAATCTTGTCTTTTTTAATAATGAAATATTTGATGGTAAGCATTAATAAAGAGCCAGAATAGATGAAGAATGGCACCACTTGACACATGAATATGAGTTGGTGTCTCATTTATACTACATTATTTTAACAGTCTCATCTTTTTGTTTAGGTTTTGACTGAAGCATTTACTTCTGTTGAAGAAAAGAGGGAACTGGGCTTAAATTTTCTATAAGAAATGAAAGTGTTGCTTTTCAACCATGTACACCCATAATATTGGAGTGAGCAGACATTCCGTTCTCCCTCCCATTGTTCCTGACAGTGATAAGAAATTTTTAGACAATATACAAGGATACATCATTACAGAAATTGAAAAAGTGGGTTGTACAGAACAAGGACCAGCTGAGGAGTATTACATTATATACAGTAATGTTTTTGACAAGGTAACAAAGCACTATAGGAAAATATTTTCTTTGTAAACAAGCAGTGGAAAGGGCTGCCAATCTTAGATGCACTGACAAACCGGAAGTGTTGTGTCATTTTTTTTTTTTAAATTAGACTTTAGATCAGGGGTCGGCAACCTTTCAGAAGTGGTGTGCCAAGTCTTCATTTATTCACTCTAATTTAAGGTTTCGCATGCCAGTAATGCATTTTAACATTTTTAGAAGGTCTCTTTCTATAAGTCTATAATATATAACTAAACTATTGTTGTATGTAAAGTAAATAAGGTTTTTAAAATGTTTAAGAAGCTTCATTTAAAATTAAATTAAAATGCAGAGCTCCCCCCCGGACCGGTGGCTGAGACCCGGGCAGTGTGAGTGCCACTGAAAATCAGCTCACGTGCCGCCTTTGGCACGCGTGCCATAGGTTGCCTACCCCTGCTTTAGATCAAAAACCTCAAAGGTATTTGGCCTCGTCAATGAAATCAATGGAAGTTAGGATTCTAAATACCTTTGAGAAGCTGGGTCTTAGTGCACACAAGAGTTTGGCTTGACAGCCCTGAAGACTGAATACCTGTTTTCATCCCCAAGACAGGTACAGCACTGGAAGCAGCAGTTTAAGCTTCCTCACCAATGTACTTCATCTCTGACCTGGAAATAGCGGGTTTAGGGGTGAAAGGGTATGCCTATGGAGACAGTGCTACAAGGCCAGATTCTCCCCCATATTAGGGCAGTTTTGTGCTGCTCTGGTATTTCAGAGCTGCACTAAAACCAGCATAGACTGCAATTATGCATGGATTACATTGTATGATCTCGCTACGCTATAGAGCCTTTATAGTGGCTTCTATACCACATCCTTCCTTGCCGTTGGCCCAAGGGGTATCATTGAGGGAAGAGGGTGGGAGCAGGGTGGATAAAAATCAATGATTTAAAAAAAAAAATCAAAAACTATTTAAAGGGCCAATGAAAACAAAAATTGTAAGTTGCAAACAAATTTCTTTGCCTACATTACAAACAAATTACTGAAAGAACTGTTAAAATAGTGAATATTTAAAAAATCACTTAGTGGCATTTTTACTGTTTTTTTGCATCTCTCTCATTTTGAACAATGAAAATCATTTTCACTTTTGTTTATAGTCAGTTTTTCTTTCAGATTTTTGGTGTTGCAACATTTGGATTTAAAAAACTTCAAATGAATGTTTGGGAGAGAGCTCCACTACATCTACGTATATATTAATATGTCTTGTAAATCTAAAGTAAATTCTCTATACATGGAGTAACAATCTTATACACAGTAAATTCATCACTAACAAAGTTTCTATTTATATAATGAAAATGCTCAAAAATTGCTTTTTTTGCTCTTTGTACTTTCAGTTGTTGGAACTGGTTCATTACCTCCTTTGTAGCTAAAAGCCTATATTGTGAAAGCTCAACACTGATGAATGTGTCTGTTTGCCAGAGCTGTGGGTGCAGCTGAACTGGCCGCATAGGGTATGTGGATGACCGCAGAGGCTTCCACTGTGGTCTGTGAATTTTCCTGTAAGAAAGACTATGCAGCTGTTTGCAAGCACAATGTAACTGGACCAGGTTTTCCAATTTCAGCATCATCCCTCGGTTCATTTTTTCACTGTGAATAGAAAATATACAATGAAATCAGGGTGGATTTGATTTAAATCAAATTGATTTAAAAAATCCAATGTAAATAAAAACTATGATTTTTTTATTTAAAAAAAAATCATTGACATTTATGCACCCTGCTTTTTGACAATTCATAAAACTTGTCTTATGTCATTCCAAATTGAATCAATTATCATCCAATCACACTTCTAGAGACCTATACAATGAATTTACTAGTTTGAAAAATGTCAGTTAGTTATATAGACTGAAGATTTAAAAAAAAAAAAAAAATCTACAGCAAGTTCCCAAATACCAGGGTGAATAAAAACCAATGATTTAAAAAAAAAAAAAATTTTAAAAATGGGCATTTTTTTATTTAAATAGTTTTTTTTCCTCAAAAAGCTTCTGTATAGATTATTTAGGTTAATCTTTCTATCTACCCATTTGTGCTTTGCTTTTTTCAGCTGCCAAGAGAGATGTAATGTACAGGAATCAAAACTGGGACTTCTTCATAGCTACTTTTTACATGCATGTAAAATCAGTTTTTGCATCCTTTGCATGCATGAGTAAGGGTTGCAGGATCAGCCCCCCAAATTGTGAGTTTGATCTAATGCTTTATGCTATTTAAAAAAACGTTGCCCTGGCCTGGTCCCTTCCTCCTTAGCCTTTCCAGAGCCGTAAGTGCTCTGAAGGCATCAGGCTTAGTACCTATTGGAGAAAGTGTCTCATGTTGCTGAAAAGTGGTTCTTCTAGCTGCATAAAGAATGTCCTGAAAATTATCCCTTAACTTTAATAATATCAGAGATTATTTAAACTGAAAGAAGTATGGAGTTCATTTGTCACCATTTATAGTTTGTGCACTTTCATCAGCTTGGGCAATGAAAACAGGCTGTCAGTTTTATGTTCTGCTTCTCATGCATTAGCACAGTGCTGCTGTTTGAAGTGTATACAGACACTCCCCGGGTCATGCAAACTCAATTTACGCAAATCCGTAAGCTTTTTTTTTTTTGGCGTAATTGTTGGGTATACGTTCCCAACTTATGCAAAATTGGACTTACACAAGGCATTCCGGAACAGAACGCTTGCATAAGTCGGGGAGCATCTATATTGTGTCCAATTGTTTCTATTTACTCTGACTGTTGTGCTGTTTGGAGGTTTGCGGGGAGTCTGGAGGGGTATTCCATTAACCACATCAATATATCGCATTTCAAATGGCAAAACATGTCTTCACAGATAATAGAGCATGTTACTGTGTACAAGAACATTCTGACTTCAGTCAAACAGGAGTATGATGCATTTATTGAAGCAATAAAAAAGGGCCAAAGGAATGCATTTTATCTTCATGGAAAATTGAAAGTTCTGGCATCTGAGCCTACAACTCTAATATATTATAGAAAAAGAACAATCCAACTTGAAGACAAGTAAGGCCACTTCTAATATATTGTGTAAAGCAACATGTGTGATACTAACTCTGATGTGTAAATCATTTTAAATGTAGCTCGTTTATCACAGTTGTGATTTTTAAAAACTAGTTTTATTATTTTATTATCCATTAGGTGGAAGTCCCAATTTAGATTTTTGTATTTCCAGGCCTGATTCTGCAATTCTTCTGCAGTTAAAACTCCCACTGAAATCAATGGAGATTTGGCCTGCATAAGTACTGCAGGATCAGGCACTTGAGTTAAACATATGCTGTTTCGCCACTTGTAAAATAAAGACAGCATAACTTCAAAGTGAAAGTTCATTGTCAAAATGTATTGTATTAGGATACTTTGTTTTATACTTCTCAAATTAAACTGAGGAAGAATTACTCACTTTCCCTCAGTCTACTATGTGGCTTTCTTTACTGTCCTATACTTTACTGGTGTCGTGTAGTTGCATGTATGTGATAAGATTATCAGAAGGTGCATGCCTCTACCCCAGGGGTTCTCAGGACACATTTTTTGGTGGTGTTAGAGTACGGCCACCAACTCTTGCTAGCGGCCGCTCTCACACTTTTCCCTAAAATACTTAATTAGCTTTAGGAAAAACAAATAAATATGCAGATAGATATGTCCAAAACATTGTTATTTATTTATTGCTAGCTAGAAATCACTTTTCACAACAGACTATTAACAAAAAAGCCAGTATCACTTTTTCACAGCAGACTTATTCGGCCCTGCCAAGCCTGGGGACAAATTAAGCCCTGGATGGGGGGCTGGGAGAGGCAGCGAGGGGCTGGAGCCTGGGGTCTACGGCCTCATAGTCAGAGCCCAGGGCTGGAGCCCAAAGTCCCTCTGCCAGAACCTGCTGCCCTGCCACCCCAGGGCTGAAGCCCAAAGACTGAGCCCCACTGCCCCCAGAAGTTGGGGAATTCACTGGCTGCCTGATCCTCCAGCGTTGTGCCCCAGGTGTTTCCAGAGGGGGCAGAGCCCAATCCCTGCTGGCAGCCCCAGCAATCAACACCAAGGTGGGGCATCCAGGAGCAACAGGGAAGGGGAGAGGCTGCTATTTTGCCACTCACCCCCACCATCACACCCCAGGAGGGTGTAGCCACAAGAAAAGCCCCTGGTGGCCACATTTGAGAAATGCTTTCTAGCCACAAACAGAATCAAATAGAATTAATATGGCATGTTAGGGAACACAAATAACTGAGAATGACAGAATAGTATTGTGACAAGCTTAGTATAGCTCGCCCTGATGATCTAGGATTCTAAAATGTAGAAAAGAAAATGGAGACTTCTTTTCTTTGTTGCAGGATAAAAGTTATCGAGAGAAATTCTGCTCGAATTCAAAATCTGATATTGAAAATAAGAAATATTAAGAAAGTGCCCTCTACAGAAGCTTTGACTCCAAGAAAAAAGATAAACCCTGCTAAGCCTATACCAGGTAAAGACCAATATTTTGTTAGGTAATCTGAGTATTTCTTTTGGATTAAAGCTTTGCCCTTAACTAAAGAGAAGCCACATACACAGAGGGCTGCAATGATCCTGTAAGGCACTAGCCCATGTTTGGGTGGTATGGAGCCTTGCTGACCCAGCGGAAGCTCTGGAAGGATGCATGCTTCAGGGAGGCATAATGCCTTCCAGAGCTCTTTGGTAGTCATGGGGAGCATGCTGACTGTTACAGAACTTGTGCCTCCTTGATTCTGGAGCCCATTTGTGCAACCTGGGGCATCCCTGACGTCTGATGTAACTTGTCACTGCTGCAATAGACCCTATTGGCAATTGCAGGAGTGCAGAATCACTAGAGCACAGGAAAACCTCAAAACCACTCCTTCCCCCGCTTCTATTCCTGTGTCTGTCCCTAGCCTACATTAGGATGTTCATTGTGGCAGGGCCTTCTGCAAGGGGTTGCAGAGCCAACTCGGGCTGCTGCACAGACCCTCTTGCACTGGGGGTGTTTCTTAGGATGGGGAGCTTACATCTGTTCCGTGTCCCATTTGGAGTCAGTGCAGCCAGGCCAGCATGAAGGGGTTGTAGAGCAGAGATGAATTCTCCCACTGAGCACAAGGGTTGATTGTGACCAACTCGTGTGTGGAAGTGCCAGAGGAGAAGGCTCCTCCCATCTTTCTCTCACATTGCTTAGAAGATGGTCACAATCTGGCCAGTAATGTTTGGTCAATACTTAACAAATGGAATCTAAATAGCTAGGTGTACATGTATAGTACATAACAAAGGCATTTGTACATTTGTTTCTAAGTCCTCACTGCTGGAACATTACACCAAAAACTAACAGATTCAATTACAGCTCTGGAATATTATTGAACTCTAAACTTTTATCACCTTCTATACATTTCCCCCCCCCACTTATTAATAGAGAAGGGCTCTAAAGTAAAGGGAAACTTGGATTATGTCTGAGCTGCAAAGTTCAGATCTTGTCTCTAAGACTGTCGTCTTCCTTTTATTCAGTGTTGATTTTCAGACTAGAGAACCCTAGCAAATTACATGTCTCACAGTTTCTGTATACACCTTGTGTGTTTATCACAATTAAGAGCTCATTAAAGACATTTCCTTCTTCAACAGGTCTGACTGTAAAAGAATCTCTCAGCTTAGATGCTCTTTCTAGACACCTTGCTCAGCTAGAAGGGAGAGTGCAGGAACTGAAAGCAGACATGATATCAAAATACATTCCTCTGGAGAACAAGGCTGGCCTAGAGCAGGAACTCAAGCACTCATTGGAACTACGAGATAAGGCAGAGGCAGTGAATGAGAAACTGAGACTTAGGTACAAGTGTTCATCCTACAGCATATCTTGTTTTTATGTTGGGGATATTCTCTACAGTGTTCTGTCACATAGATTTAGCTTTGGTACGTTATTGATTGTTATAGAGGTATTAACAATATCAGTATTAATTGTGCTCAGTACTTTGGAAAATTCATGGGAAGACATTCCTTGCCCCTAAGAGCTTATAGTCAACAGACAAAGAATGCAGTGTGGTAATGTAGGGTCAGGTCCTGGCCCCCTGCTCTGTTCATTGCTCCAGCAGCACAAAGGAGATAAAGAGCTGCCTCAAGTGGGCAGCCAGGGATTTCCCTGATGTAGGGGGAATACTTGGATGGCGGGTGACAGGTGATGAAGATCCTCTGCTGGCAAAGTGGCACTGAGGGGACCGCTCTAACTGCTATAAACTAGAGTAGCCCTTAGACTGCTTTAAATTACACTAGGGGCAGTTTTGTCCCGCACTCCCCCCATCACTTCCTAGATTGTGGGAGATGAAAGATGTCTTCAATAAATTGAGTGCAGCTTGCTGGGATCTGAACATCTGGCTCATAGTATGATGGTGATTTGAAGATGCATTCAATACAAATCAGTATAAGGCTTTTAATGACATAAATATGGCAGCGTTCCTTTGTTTGGTGGATTAATGATGCTTGGAAGAAGTGCATTTTGAAATCCTTTGAAAGGAGACAGTACCTTTTACATTAGGACAGACAAGGACTCCCATGTGTAATGGGCAGCAAAGAGGAAAGCACAAAGATGAAAGTAGGAGAAGGATACAAGGGAAGCAGTTGGGTGGAAGGGAGGGAGGGAGGGATTAGAATGAGAAGAGATGTGGGCAGAGGTCGAGCTTTATAGAACCTTGAAGTTAAGCGTTAGCTTGAACTTGATCCTTCATAGGGAACTTCGTAGGGAACTACTGAGGAGTTACACTGATCCTGACGAAATGTTCGATTCCCTCTTTGACTGTTTATAGTTATAATAGAATTACATTGGTTGCAAATGCTGTGTCTGCCTGGGCAAAATCTGACAAGAGCACCTCCTTGCAAGAACTACTCTCTCAAGTCATGGAAAAGAAGGAAGTTGTAAAAGGTAAAACCAATACAAATAAAAGGACAATATTATGAAGCATGGAAAATATGGGACCAGATACTCAGCTGATGTAAATTAGTCTATTTCCATTGATATCAATGGGGCCATGCAATCTTATACTAGCTGAGAATCTGGCCTATAAATTTGTATTTTGCTTTTTTAAATGTGTACTGAGATTTTCAAAGGGGCATGAAAGAATTAAGTGTCCAAATCCCATTTAGAGTCAGTGGAAGTTGGGCCCCTAATTCCTTTAGGTCCCTTTGAAAGTCCTATCCCTAATGATCTTGGGTCATCCATTTCCCCCATGCATGGTGATGCATGTGTCCAGCATTTAGGAAAATAAGATTTTTGCCCAGAAATCTGATAAAGGTATAGAAAAATATTCACCAGAGTTATACAGGGATGACTTTGGTCTATGATGTTTTACTACAGTTAAGATGAAGGTGAGGTGTCCAGAGGTGGTTTATACAATCTCCACCTCTCATGTGCTACCCAAATCCCTCACCTTTTTTTCCAGAGTCACAGAGGTCTCCTGCTGCTAGTACTTCAAATCATCCAGGTTATTTAGGCAAGTAAAGTAGAGATGGCGAAGGATCTTTAAAATGTTTTCCAGCCGATCGCCTTAGGCCTTCTGACATGTTCAACCTTTTTATGAGCATTAAGCACACTCCCAAAACTGTCAAGATCATCTCAGGTGCTGCATGAGTAGAGTGCAGTGGCACGCTTGGCATCAAATTGAATCTTACTTGTTGCTCTCAACTTGTATTGTTAGACAGATCGGGGAACATACCTCTTATGTTCCTCCACTCTGCCCCTTCTAATGGGCTTTTAGATTGTGGGTCAAATTCTGCTCCCATTTACAGCCCTGTAAATCTATGCACTGAATTCAGTGGAATTACATGGGTGTAACTGAAATCAGAATCTGTCCCTATGTCTGTTGTTCGCTGCTAGTTGGAGTTTAAAGTGTGGTCTCCACCCTTGTCCCAGAGCTAAGAGCCAAATTCTGCCCTGACTGACATTCTGTGCAGCTGCATTGGTTTCAGGTGGAACTGTAGAATGTTTCAGTGAGTAGAATTTGGTCCTTAGGGTGTCACCTCTCATTCCTAATCTCTGACAGCCTTAGAGTATGTGTCTGGGGACACAGACAGGGAAACTTTGTTCTAGAATTTACCTGGCCTGATTGAAATTGTTTCCTAATTACATTTCCAATTATGGGAGACTTCTTCAGTCTTGTCAACGCATGAAAAATGCATTAGTTTATATAAGGTCCCTTTCCTGCTTGCTAATGCAAAAGAGCCTGGCTAAAACTTTAAACCCATCTTTCTTGAAAGACACATTTCTATGGATCAAAATCTATTCTCTTTTTGTACTCTTGCAGTGTTAATGCTGGTTTTCTCTATTGAAATAATAACACATTTACCTCCCATTGATGTGTCTAACTTTCAGCTGCTGCTGCCTTTAGCATCTCTCATATATTTGAACATGACCCCAGCAAGAGTAAAGAGGCTGAAGATTTGCTTGAATATATTGAAAGGTAAATAGAATGCAACTCTTATATTCTACTCTGTGTAAGCAGTTTACAGCATTACAAAGTTTGGATAATATATCATGTTTAATGCAGTCCTCCAGGGCAAATTAGGATTTTGTAAAAAGAGCACTCTTTTCTTCTTTTTGTGAATTTCTGGTGTTTGTAAAATGTGCTTGCTAGCCTGACAGCCCTGCTGACCTACATCAGTTGGTTATCCACAGACCAGATGCAGCAAAAGCAGCTTTTCCACACTGCTCTACTCATATGCTTCAACCCTGTCCTGGAAGATCACTTTTGGGGCAGAAAGGGTAGTTTGAACTTTATGGCCCATTCCATCCTTGGCCTCTTTGCTGAAACTGCCAGCAAAGGTACTAGCAGTGGAGGTGGGTTTTTTTTGGTGATATGAACACCTCTGAGGCGATTACCTTGGTCTAGAGTTTTTCCTAAAGATGCCGATAAGTACCTAGTACGATTTTCAAAAGCACTAGGTGCCTGTTGAGAGCTAGGTGCTTTTAAAAATCCCACTGAGTGCCTGTCTTCATCTTTAGGTGCCTAAATATCTTTAAAACTCTTGCAACTAAGAAGTGGAATGAGATCATAAATTCATTTCACACAGTCCACTGAACAGCCATTACATGGTAACAGCTTCCAGGTACTACCAACCTAGATTGGATTTGGCCTTAGTTTGATCCGTGAGCTGAAAGGCCATATTCCATTATACCAGTCCCTCCCAAATCAGCATCTTAAACATAACATTCATTGAAATCTAACTGCAACAGTTTCTTTCTGGAGATCAATATTTGTTAATCCAACAGCAGTGCGGCAAGTTAGGCTTTCAGGAGAAAACCTAATTGACACAATCAGGAGGTGAATGGTAATAGAGGCATAGCCAGTTTTAGTAGGGACATTTCAGGGGGTTAATCATAGGCTATCATTATTATAGTCTAGATGTGGTTTCCCTTAACGGAGTAATCTGGGACAAGATTGCACCCCTACTGCCCTCAGATACACTGGGAGGGGATGCAGAGAGACCATGTGGTTGATGGAGCCCTGAGGAGGAATTCTGGCTGGGAGCAAATGCCATAGTAGCAACTTGGCCACCCTTTGAACAAGTGCACTGTACTCTGTCCTCCGTGCCCAGCTGGCGATAAAAGCCAGTGTGGAAACCACGGCACCAGCTTTCCCTGTCCTCCCTGCCTGCTAGCAGCACTGAGGGGGATCAGGGATGACACTATCCAACAGCCATTCTTAGCACAAAGGGGAAACTTCTTGCACCCTCCCTCCCCCAGGAGCCCATGCAGAGGCTGAGCAGAATACAGGCAGAATCTCACCATTGAATAGTTAATGCAGATGTAGACAACTTTCTGGGGCACCCTCTTGCGCAACTGGTGTTGTGTGCTGTGCAACCTGATTTCCTCATTTAAATGCCTTGTCAAGCCTCCTTTCTTTTGGTGAGCTTTCCATTGATGATCCACTTCCTGAACACCATTGTGGACACTGTGTAAGTTGCTAGGCAGTGGTCAGCATTCTACGATCCAGTGTGTAGTGCCTATACTGATGATGTGTACCAAAATTAATACTAAAAGATGAAGGTGAGGGGAAAAAGTAATTTGGGGAACTGAGAACCACTCAGGACTGCCACTTGTTGTCACCAGATTTTTTTTCATACAGAAGGACTAGATATTTTAAAATATTCTTTGTATTAAAGCTGTGGTATTGCCCATGTCTTTGACATTTGATTCTAGGCTTTCTGGAATTCCTTCCTTGGCTAGTTCACCACATCATCAACTGATCATTTCTTTTTCTTTTTTTTGTGTCAGTGCTATATTACATTGTCTTTTCCTTCATCTGTCCTAGATTCAATGAATTATTTTCATATGGTCAGTATGAGGCTGCAGCAGTTTATGCTGCAAACTGTCCTAGAGGAATTCTCCGCAATGAAGAAACCATGATGAAATTTAAGGGTATGGAATTTAGATGGAAATACTGTTGGTCAGATTCTCAGCTGGTGTAAATTGACATCACTATTGATTCAAATAGTGCGATACTGACTTACGCCTGCTGAGAATCTACCTCTATTACTCATGTTGAAAGAAGCCTTGAAGGGACAAATGTGAATTACTTATGTGTGTTTGGAATTTACATTTAACACTTCAAAGTAAAAATAAAAACAACCTAAGGGTGTGCTGCGATAAAAAATGCATGGCACAAGGTCTCCGAGCCCAGGTCATAGAATATCAGGGTTGGAAGGGACCTCAGGAGGTCATCTAGTCCAACTCCCTGCTCAAGCAGGACCAAATCCCAACTAAATCATCCCAGCCAGGGCTTTGTCAAGCCTGACCTTAAAAACCTCTAAGGAAGGAGATTCCACCACCTCCCTAGGTAACCCATTCTAGTGCTTCACCACCCTCCTAGTGAAAAAGTTTTTCCTAATATCCAACATATATCTCCCCCCCTGCAACTTGAGACCATTACTCCTTGTTCTGTCATCTGGTACCACTGAGAACAGTCTAGATCTATCCTCTTTGGAACCCCCTTTCAGGTAGTTGAAAGCAGCTATCAAATCCCCCCTCATTCTTCTCTTCTGCAGACTAAACAATCCCAGTTCCCTCAGCCTCTCCTCATAAGTCATGCGCTCCAGACCCCTAATCATTTTTGTTGCCCTCCGCTGGACTCTTTCCAATTTTTCCACATCCTTCTTGTAGTGTGGGGCCCAAAACTGGACACAGTACTCCAGATGAGGCCTCACCAATGTCGAATAGAGGGGAATGATCACATCTCTCCATCTGCTGGCAATGCCCCTACTTATACAGCCCAAAATGCCGTTAGCCTTCTTGGCAACAAGAGCACACTGTTGACTCACATCCAGCTTCTCGTCCACTGTAACCCCTAGGTCCTTTTCTGCAGAACTGCTTCCTAGCCATTCGGTCCCTAGTCTGTAACAGTGAATGGGATTCTTCTGTCCTAAGTGCAGGACTCTGCACTTGTCCTTGTTGAACCTCATCAGGTTTCTTTTGGCCCAATCCTCTAATTTGTCTAGATCCCTCTCTATCCTATCCCTACCCTCCAGCGTATCTACCACTCCTCCCAGTTTAGTGTCATCTGCAAATTTGCTGAGAGTGCAGTCCACACCATCCTCCAGATCATTAATGAAGATATTGAACAAAACCAGCCTCAGGACCTACCCTTGGGGCACTCCGCTTGAAATGGGCTGCCAAGTATACATGGAGCCGTTGATCAATACCCGTTGAGTCCGACGATCTAGCCAGCTTTCTATCCACCTTATAGTCCATTCATCCAGCCCATACTTCTTTAACTTGCTGGCAAGAATACTGTGGGAGACCATATCAAAAGCTTTGCTAAAGTCAAGGAATAACACATACACGGCTTTCCCCTCATCCACAGACCCAGTTATCTCCTCATAGAAGGCAATTAGGTTAGTCAGGCATGACTTGCCCTTGGTGAATCCATGCTGACTATTCCTGATCACTTTCCTTTCCTCTAAGTGCTTCAGAATTGATTCCTTGAGGACCTGCTCCATGATTTTTCCAGGGACCTAGGTGAGGCTGACTGGCCTGTAGTTCCCCGGATCCTCCTTCTTCCCTTTTTTAAAGATGGGCACTACATTAGCCTTTTTCCAGTCATCTGGGACCTCCCCCAATTGCCATGAGTTTTCAAAGATAATGGCCAATGGCTCTGCAATCACATCCGCCAACTCCTTTAGCACCCTCGGATGCAGCGCAGCTGGTCCCATGGACTTGTGCTCATCCAGTTTTTCTAAATAGTCCCCAACCACTTCTTTCTCCACAGAGGGCTGGTCACCTTCTCCCCATACTGTGCTGCCCAGTGCAGCAGTCTGGGAGCTGACCTTGTTCGTGAAGACAGAGGCAAAAAAATCATTGAGTACATTAGCTTTTTCCACATCCTTTGTGACTAGGTTGCCTACCTCATTCAGTAAGGGGCCCACACTTTCCTTGACTTTCTTCTTGCTGCTAACATACCTGAAGAAACCCTTCTTGTTACTCTTAACATCTCTTGCTAGCTGCAACTCCAAGTGTGATTTGGCCTTCCTGATTTCACTCCTGCATGCCTGAGCAATATTTTTATACTCCTCCCTGGTCATTTGTCCAATCTTCCACTTCTTGTAAGCTTCTTTTTTGCATTTAAGATCAGCAAGGATTACATTAAGCCAACCTGGTCGCCTGCCATATTTACTATTCTTTCTACACATCGGGATGGTTTTTCCTGCAACCTCAATAAGGATTCTTTAAAATATAGCCAGCTTTCCTGGACTCCTTTCCCGCTCATGTTATTCTCCCAGGGGATCCTGCCCATCAGTTCCCTGAGGGAGTCAAAGTCTGCTTTTCTGAAGTCCAGGGTCCGTATTCTGCTGCTCTCCTTTCTTCCCTGTGTCAGGATCCTGAACTCGACCATCTCATGCTCACTGCCTCCCAGGTTCCCATCCACTTTTGCTTCCCCTACTAATTCTTCCCGGTTTGTGAGCAGCAGGTCTAGAAGAGCTCTGCCCCTAGTTGGTTCCTCCAGCACTTGCACCAGGAAATTGTCCCCTACACTTTCCAAAAACTTCCTGGATTGTCTGTGCACCGCTGTATTGCTCTCCCAGCAGATATCAGGGTGATTAAAGTCTCCCATGAGAACCAGGGCCTCTGATCTAGTAACTTCTGCTAGTTGCTGGAAGAAAGCCTCGTCCACCTCATCCCCCTGGTCTGGTAGACCACCAGACTCCCACCACGACATCACCCTTGTTGCTCACGCTTCTAAACTTAATCCAGAGACTCTCAGGTTTTTCTGCAGTTTCAAACTGGAGCTCTGAGCAGTCATACTGCTCTCTTACATACAATGCAACTCCCCCACCTTTTCTGCCCTGTCTGTCCTTCCTGAACAGTTTATATCCATCCATGACAGTACTCTAATCATGTGAGTTATCCCACCAAGTCTCTGTAATTCCAATCACATCATAATTCTTTGACTGTGCCAGGACTTCCAGTTCTCCCTGCTTGTTTCCCAGGCTTCTTGCATTTGTGAATAGACACTTAAGATAACTCGCTGATCGTCCCACTTTCTCAGTATGAGACAGGAATCCTTCCCTCTTGCGCTCTCCTGCTCGTGCTTCCTCCCGGTAACCCATTTCCCCACTTACCTCAGGGCTTTGGTCTCCTTCCCCCGGTGAACCTAGTTTAAAGCCCTCCGCACTAGGTTAGCCAGCCTGCTTGCGAAGATGCTCTTCCTTCTCTTCATTAGGTGGAGCCCATCTCTGCCTAGCAATCCTTCTTCTTGGAACACCATCCCATGGTCAAGGAATCCACAGCCTTCTCTCTGACACCACCTGCATAGCCATTTGTTGACTTCCACGATTCAATGGTCTCTACCAGGGCCTTTTCCTTCCACAGGGAGGATGGACGAGAACACCATTTGTGCCTCAAACTCCTTTTTCCTTCTTCCCAGAGCCACGCAGTCTACAGTGATCTACTCAAGGTCATTCTTGGCAGTATCATTGGTGCCCACATGGAGAAGCAGGAAGGGCTAGCGATCCGAGGGCTTGATGAGTCTCAGCAGTCTCTCCATCACATCATGAATCCTAGCTCCTGGCAAACAGCACACTTCTCGGTTTTCCCAGTTGGGACGGCAGATAGATGACTCAGTCCCCATTAGGAGGGAGTCCCCGACCATCACTACCTGTCTCCTTCTCTTGAGAGTGGTGGTCAGGTGCTATTGCAATGCAAATAATAAATAATAATATATCAATAATAAAAGAAGGATCAAAGCAAGGAAACTGGGTTAAAGTTGCCTTTACTGTTAACTACAAAACCGACATCCTCTGCAGAAAGTTCTATAGGTGTATTTTCAAAGTGATATGCAGGCATTTCACTAGGCAACTCCATGTAGACTCAGTGGTTTAAATCCACACATTTTGCTATGAAAATTTGCCTTTAGGTGTCCACAGATAATGCCCAATCATGTGATGTGCCACCATCTTCTGTACTGAGGAGCCTCAACTTTCATTGACTAGCATGGCAGCAGAGGGGGCTCAGCATCTTGCAGGATTGAGCCTTTAGTTGGAATTTGTCCAGGGGATTCTGAGGACATCAGCAAAGCAAAACAACAAAACCAACAACAAACAAACAAACAAACAAAAAACCTATTGGAAAACTTAAAATGCTATTTTTCACAATTTTTGCTCAGTGACTTTCCTTTCCCTCCTTCTAGCTCTTGGTGCTGTTAAAGGGAGGATTCTACCTTTGCTGAGATATTTTGAGGCCCTCATAAGCTCAAGTGCTGCAGTTAAACACCCTCTGTGTGCAGCCATGACTCTGGAAGCAATCAAATGTGCATTGTTTGAAAAACAGTTAAATCTCGTTATGCACTGGGTCACACAGCAAAGGTAAGCAGGCCTGTAGTGTACTTGGATTCATATGAGTATGTGCCCTTCCCCTGTGAAAGTTGCATTCATGCTTTTCCTAAGTGATCAGGCCTTTCCTGTTTTTAAAAAAAAAAAAAATCACTCTCCTTTTCTTGTGAATTAGAATCATGCAAACACAATATCACAAAATGGCAATCTCACAGATACATTACTTTGATGCCATTTATTAAATTCACCGTGGTATACATCAAGACAAATGAACAGCATGAAAAGCTATTTTTGCAGAATGCAATATTTAATTTAAGATATCAGCCATGTTAGATCTCTGTAGATCAAAATTTTGTTTCAGGCCCTTTTTACTGTAGTAAAAAGTTATGTGAAAATCAGATTGAGAGACCGTTTTTTGTTCTGGTACCATTTTTTAAACATTAGACATCTGCAGTTATTGGAAAAGCTAGAAGTTTTGGTTTTACTCTTATATGTGTCTGTTTCTATAATAACAGTAGTATCCAGGGCCGGCTTTAGGCCAATTCCCCCAATTCCCTGGAATCGGGTCCCACGCCTAAGAGGGCCCTGCGCCTTAGGCGCCTTTTTAATTTTTTTTACTCATCCGGCGGCGGTCCTGGTCTTCGGCAGCACTTCGGCGGTGGCGGGGTTCTTCACTCGCTCCGGGTCTTCGGCGGCATTTCGACGGCGGGGGGTCCTTCAGTGCCGCGGGAGACCCGGAGCGAGTGAAGGACCCTCCGCCACCAAAGTGCCGCCGAAGACCCGGACCGCCGCCGGTATTCGAATCGGGCCCCGCAGTTTCTAAAGCCAGCCCTGGCAGTATCTATACAGTATTTAGTAGAGTTACTTCAAGAGACATCTGAACTGGAAACTCAAAGCTATCCTCCACTCCCTGGATTTCATTTGTGGGGGTTGAAGTATTCAAATTTGAATCTCCAGAACTAAAAGTGCCTCTGCAATTTTGCTCTTGGATCAAATCCTAAACTGGAAGGAACCTATTTTTCCAGATCCAGTTCAGATGCATCTTAAAATAGTGGAAATCCCACAAGAACAGTTTGGGAGATTTCCACTGTTCAGCATGGCATTAATCTAATTAGAATTCTGACATATGGGGCATTTCTCTTTATGGCTTATCCTACCACATGCAGTAATCTTTCCAAAAGAGCCATTATTGCATATTTTATCACTAGAATTATAGTCATTGCTAAATCAATAGGACACTGGAAATTATGTTGTCATGTTGAAATGTCAAGCCAGGCTTTGTATATGCAGGAGGACAGGAAACCTACATCCTTTTGCCAAAACTATAAAGTTAGTAAAGATGTCTTAGCGTAATGCACACTCTGAAGTGCTTTATTATGACTTTAGAATGGGACTGTACAAATATTAAAAAATTCTAAAATTACTTGAATTGTAGGCAGAGCTGGTAGTGACACCAAAGTTAAGGGTGCCTAACACTTTCCATCATAAGAGCCCATTTTCAATTGCTTCTACTTTGCAAAGCTTTACCTATTCAGGCTGAAGTTTTCCATGCCAGATGTCTGCCTCAGTCTGAATTTCTTTGCAAAGTTTAAACAAAACCATTTCTGAGAATGATATTAGAGAAAAGTAGGTTGTTTTGCCAATGTTAAAAAAAAATTCTTCTCAACATTTCTTTGAAGAGTTCTGGAGCCTGAACTCCAAGTTGGAGTATGAACTTGAAATTTGTCAGAGTAGCATTGGAGTCAGGGAGGTGTTTTTTCCTGCCCCTGAGGCAGTCCGTCCAAATTTGGCCAAGTTATAAGCATCTGAAATCTCCAGACATTTTGTCTGCACTGAACTTGCTCTAGCCCCACACAGTTCCTTCATGCCAGCTGCACTGAGTATCCTCTGAGGTTCTTATGTGTCTACCCGACAGAATGCACTGAGTAGGTTCCCAACTCAACAGCAGCAGACTCTTTGCCTGACTTGCCAGGTGTCACAAAGTAGGCATAACACACATTTCCCTTCCCCATACACATCCCTGCACCCCAACTGGAATTGTAGAACAAACTTGGCCTATTTAGTTAATGAATATTGTGAAAGTATGTTTATATATTTCTTTGTATTGAATAGTGCATTCACGTCCCAGTTTTTCTTTTGTTCATCTTTATGCTTCAGTCTCTTTGCTTTTTTGCGTGGAGGGAGGGAATCATCACATGAGTCCCATTGCCAATGAAATTAATAAAATTTTGGGACCTCTAGAAGAAAGGAAGACAGTTGCTTCCCTGGGGCCACATTCTGCCTTCAGAGATCATAGAATCATAGAATATCAGGGTTGGAAGGGACCTCAGGAGGTCATCTAGTCCAACCCCTTGCTCAAAGCAGGACCAATTCCCAACTAAATCATCCCAGCCAGGGCTTTGTCAAGCTGGGCCTTAAAAACCTCCAAGGAAGGAGACTCCACCACCTCCCTAGGTAACGCATTCCAGTGCTTCACCACCCTCCTAGTGAAATAGTGTTTCCTAATATCCAACCCAGACCTCCCCCACTGCAACTTGAGACCATTGCTCCTTGTTCTGTCATCTGCCACCATTGAGAACAGCCGAGCTCCATCCTCTTTGGAACCCCCCTTCAGGTAGTTGAAGGCTGCTATCAAATCCCCCCTCATTCTTCTCTTCTGGAGACTAAACAATCCCAGTTCCTTCAGCCTCTCCTCATAAGTCATGCGCTCCAGACTGTGGGTGTTGCACATGCACATCTGACAATTGAATTACACCATCAGAGACAATCATGAGAGTCTTACTTGGTTCATGTTTCTGGCTAAGAGACGGGCATTACAGCCTTGGGAAAAGGAAGATATTCAAATACGGCCTTTGCCAACAAATAAACTGGGTTTGCATTAGCAGAGCTTTTCAAAGGGGTGGGCATGAGAGCTGGAAACATCAAATACCAATATAAACGGGAAGAATGCAGATCCGTTTTTATTTATCCTTCCATTTAGTTTAAACTGAATTAGCTCATGATCACTCAAACCACGGTTGTCCTTTACAACCCATTCTTCTATGAGGTCCTCACTACTCATCAATACCAAATCTAAAATGGCATCACCTCTTGTTGGTTCAGCAACTATTTGGTGAAGAAATCTGTCAGCTATCACATCCCGGAAAATCAGGGCCCTACTATTATTAGTAGCACTTGTCCTTCAATCTGTATCTGGGAAGTTAAAGTCTCCCATAATCACACAATTACCAGTAGAATTTATTTCATTAAAAATATTAAAGAGGTCTCTATCCATTTCCCTTCCCCATACACATCCCTGCACCCCAACTGGAATCACACAAATACAGGAGAGCTGCAAGGGCTGCAGTTGCCCGTTCCAACCACCAATGGCTAACATGGCACCAGGCATTGGTGAAGAGGCAGTCTGTTCTGTGCTCTTAGATCTCTGCCTGCTGTGGCCCAAGCATGTGGAAGGGGAAGGAGGAAACAACCTAATTCAAAAGCAGAGTGGGGCACAATGACAGAGGGGCACAAGAGCTGAAGGGGAGCAGTCAGTCTGGTATTTTCACACACAATCCAGTTCTACTGTACCTGATTCTGAAGTGCTCCAGAGTTATGAAAACACACTAATAACTATCTGGTTTGTTTTCTTCAGGCTGACGTTTTGTGAGGCAGCAGGGGATGTGATTTATGACTATGGGGAAGTGGAACCATTCAACAAGTCCAAGTGCTTGGCTTTGGCTCAGATTGCCTACAGTCAGTGTGGCGTGCACAAGAAAGCTGCTCTGTGCTTGTGTAAACAGGGCCAAATTTGTGGAGCAATGGATTATATACAGCAATTCAAACAGCTCACTTTAGGTAATCACAGAGCATTTATTATATTGTCTTTCATCATTTTTCTACCAAATGTTTATTTCAGGTTTAAAAATTAAATCTTATCATGGTGACATTTTGTACTAAATTTTTAAATGATACATTTTAAATTCACACGAAAAATCCAATTCTGTTCTCATTGAGTCTAATGGAAGCAGTATTTGGCTCTTAACATGCCACTGCATATGTAAATAATATAAATAACTAGAAATGTTACCCTAAAAGCAACTAAAGTGACTAATTCAGTTGGAAATAAGGAATTTCTTCAGAGAATCGAGCTTCAGTAGCTCCCGATTGATCTGCCATAGAGACTAATGTGAGATTGGCAGAGGACTCCATAGCCTAAAGTTTCAAAATCTAAGAGGCTAGTTTGGCCTATCTGTAGTTTTAGCATAGATTCATTAATCTGATAACTAGAGGCTGCAAAGAAATTCTTTAAATATGATAATGGAAACTGAGATGACTGCCTAATGAGTTCTTAGGGTCATTTGACCCTGGCAAATCATAATGGCACCATTTTACACTCTGTACACAAGCTGCACTGCAGTGTAGAATCAGGCCCTCTGAGAAGATGTCTATAAAGCTGATTCTGACCGTTAAGCATGCCCAGCCTCTGTCTTGGCAAAGCCCTTCTCGCCAAACTTGACATAGAATGTCGTGAGTGAGTTCCTCTGTCTAGTTTGACATGAAAATGTCCTGAGGTTTTTATCTGATGGGCTAAAATCCTTAAAATATCCATCGTTTGTTTCTTTTGACACCAGTGTATTAGATTCTGTTGTCTCCAAAAGAATCATGTTTAAAAGCTGTCTGACTGCATCTGGCATTGTCATTGCATAGCAGACCTGCAACTTCAAGGTCTTTTAAAGCCTAAGGAATATTGGCCAAACTAGGAGTGTTTTAATTCACTAACCCCTTTAATTTATTTTTGGATTTCTCTACTAGTTATTATTCACATTTCTCATTAAGTATTTTATTTCTTGCTTTCTCTTGCTATTCTTCCCAACTTTTTATGTATGTGTGTATATATGTGTCTATACATTTATAGACACACATTATGTAGCATTTCATTATCTTTTATAAATAGATAATGGTGTATATTTTTATAGCAACATCCCTGAGGTCAGAGTCCCTGTGAGTAGGGGTGTCTGTTGCAGCTTGTAACTTTGGAGAAGAAAAAATAATTTAGCTGTAATAATTATTCTTTTAAGATTTAGTTAGATGTAATAGATCAACCCACAACCACTACCCATCTCAGGTGGGACTTCTAGAATCTTTTTTTTAATGTTTCCAAATTATGCACATTTCCAATTTGGAAGCTCTGCTCTGGAGCCAATATTGAGCAGTTAAACTATAGAAAACCTCCTCACCGCTCTCATGCTAGGAACATGGGTATAAGATTGAAGAACTACTACAGCTCTGTATTTTAGATAATATATTTTAGAAGTAAATACTTTTCTCTTTTGTCAAACTATAATCAGATTAATTCTGCATCCAAATACATTGACTGAAGTCCTGATTCTTCAAGCACTTAGACACACAGAACAAGTAAAACAAAGCATATGCCTAAATTTTAGCAGGATTAGGCCTACATTTGGAAGTGAAGACACTTGATCAGTTATGATGGAAAACACGGTTGAACACACAACTAGACAATCATGTCCTATACCCACAGGGGTGAAATCCTGGCCCCAGTGAAGTCAACAAGGGTTTTGCCAGTGGAGCCAGGATTTCACTCCATATGTTTCTGCTCTCATTTAATCACATTTCCTTATAGCTTTGTATTGAAAGCGCATGCAGTTGCATGCCTTTTTAGATGTACACTTGCTGTTTTTTACCTTTACAAAAGAGATGCCCCCCAGGTATTAATACATACTCTAGGTTAAATAATAAGTAAAAAGTGATTTTATTAAATACAGAAAGTAGGATTTAAGTGGTTCCAAGTAGTAACGGACAGAACAAAGTGAATTACCAAGCAAAATGAAATAAAACACGCAAGTCTACGCCTAATACTGTAAGAAAACTGAATACAGATAAAACCTCACCCTCAGAGGTGTTCCAGTAAGCTTCCTTTTACAGACTAGTCTCCTTTTAGTCTGGGTCCAGCAATCACTCACACCCCCTGTAGTTACTGTCCTTTGTTCCAGTTTCTTTCAGGTATCCTTGGGTGTGAGCCAGCTGAAGACAGAATGGAGGGGTCTCCCAGGGGTTTAAATAGACTTTCTCTTGTGGGTGGATACCCCTCTCTCCCCCTGTGTAGAATTCCAGCTACAAGATGGAGTCTTGGAGTGACATGGGGAAGTCACATGTCCGTGCATGACTCAGAACTTACAGGTAGCAGCCATGGTTCACATGCTGCCTTGACCATCCTCAGTCTTCTCATGTGGATTGGAGCCTTCCAAGATCCATTGTCCGTTAAGTGCTTCTTGATTGGGCACTTAACTTGCATATTCTTTTCTCAAGAAGCTGACCAAATGCCTTACTGAGGCTATTTAAAAATCAAGCAAGTATATAGCCAATATTCATAACTTTGAATACAAAAATGATTACATGCATACAAATAGGATGAATAGATTCAGTAGATCATAACCTTTGCAGAGATATGTTACATGGCATGCGTAGCGTAAAACATATTCCAGTTATGTCATATATACATCCGTAAGCATATTTCCATAAAGCCTTAGGGGTGCACCGTCACAGGTGGGAAAAACAAAGGTGATGAAAGAAGTGAAGATATGTTCTGAAAGATCAAAGAATGCTGTTTTGTGAATGCAAACTAATGAAAATGTTGATAGATTTTAAAATGTTGGTTACACAAGTTCAGATTGCCAGTTGCCAAAAACTCAAGATGACACTAATCTTGTCAAAAATTTTGCCAGTGTATTTTAAATTAAAATGGGATTTCCTTCAACATCAGGCATGCATGTATATTTGCTCCACCTCTTTTTTGTCTTGAGCGAACCCATTTATTGTGGCAAATATAGATAAAATTCTGTTCACTATTTATTTTTGAGTTGAGTATCATTCATGGATCATAGAATCATAGAATATCAGGGTTGGAAGGGACCTCAAGAGGTCATCTAGTCCAACCCCCTGCTCAAAGCAGGACCAATTCCCAACTAAATCATCCCAGCCAGGGCTTTGTCAAGCCGGGCCTTAAAAACCTCCAAGGAAGGAGACTCCACCACCTCCCTAGGTAACGCATTCCAGTGCTTCACCACCCTCCTAGTGAAATAGTGTTTCCTAATATCCAACCTGGACCTCCCCCACTGCAACTTGAGACCATTGCTCCTTGTTCTGTCATCTGCCACCACTGAGAACAGCCGAGCTCCATCCTCTTTGGAACCCCCCTTCAGGTAGTTGAAAGCTGCTATCAAATCCCCCCTCATTCTTCTCTTCTGGAGACTAAAGAATCCCAGTTCCCTCAGCCTCTCCTCATAAGTCATGCGCTCCAGACCCCTAATCATTTTTGTTGCCCTCCGCTGGACTCTTTCCAATTTTTCCACATCCTTCTTGTAGTGTGGGGCCCAAAACTGGACACAGTATTCCAGATGAGGCCTCACCAATGTCGAATAAAGGGGAACGATCACGTCCCTCGATCTGCTGGCAATGCCCCTACTTATACAGCCCAAAATGCCGTTAGCCTTCTTGGCAACAAGAGCACACTGTTGACTCATATCCAGCTTCTCATCCACTGTGACCCCTAGGTCCTTTTCTGCAGAACTGCTACCTAGCCATTCGGTCCCTAGTCTGTAGCAGTGCATGGGATTCTTCCGTCCTAAGTGCAGGACTCTGCACTTATCCTTGTTGAACCTCATCAGGTTTTTTTTGGCCCAATCCTCTAATTTGTCGAGGTCCCTCTGTATCCGATCCCTACCCTCTAGTGTATCTACCACGCCTCCTAGTTTAGTGTCATCTGCAAACTTGCTGAGAGTGCAGTCCACACCATCCTCCAGATCATTAATAAAGATATTGAACAAAACCGGCCCCAGGACCGACCCTTGGGGCACTCTGCTTGAAACCGGCTGCCAACTAGTCATGGAGCCATTGATCACTACCCGTTGAGCCCGACGATCTAGCCAGCTTTCTATCCACTTTACAGTCCATTCATCCAGCCCATACTTCTTTAACTTGGCGGCAAGAATACTGTGGGAGACTGTATCAAAAGCTTCGCTAAAGTCAAGGAATAACACATCCACTGCTTTCCCCTCATCCACAGAGCCAGTTATCTCATCATAGAAGGCAATTAGGTTAGTCAGGCACGACTTCCCCTGGGTGAATCCATGCTGACTGTTCCTGATCACTTTCCTCTCCTCTAAGTGTTTCATAATTGATTCCTTGAGGACCTGTTCCATGATTTTTCCAGGGACTGAGGTGAGGCTGACTGGCCTGTAGTTCCCCGGATCCTCCTTCTTCCCTTTTTTTAAAGATGGGCACTACATTAGCCTTTTTCCAGTCATCTGGGACCTCCCCCGATCGCCATGAGTTTTCAAAAATAATGGCTAATGGCTCTGCAATCTCATCCGCCAACTCCTTTAGCACCCTCGGATGCAGCGCATCCGGCCCCATGGACTTGTGCACGTCCAGTTTTTCTAAATAGTCCCGAACCACTTCTTTCTCCACATAGGGCTGGTCACCTTCTCCCCATATTGTGCTGCCCAGTGCAGCAGTCTGGGAGCTGACCTTGTTCGTGAAGACAGAGGCAAAAAAAGCATTGAGTACATTAGCTTTTTCCACATCCTCGGTCACTAGGTTGCCTCCCTCATTCAGTAAGGGGCCCACACTTTCCTTGACTTTCTTCTTGTTGCTAACATACCTGAAGAAACCCTTCTTGTTACTCTTAACATCTCTTGCTAGCTGCAACTCCAAATGTGATTTGGCCTTCCTGATTTCATTCCTGCATGCCTGAGCAATAGTTTTATACTCCTCCCTGGTCATTTGTCCAATCTTCCACTTCTTGTAAGCTTCTTTTTTGCGTTTAAGATCAGCAAGGATTTCACTGTTTAGCCAAGCTGGTCGCCTGCCATATTTACTATTCTTTCTACACATCGGGATGGTTTGTTCCTGCAACCGCAATAAGGATTCTTTAAAATACAGCCAGCTCTCCTGGACCCCTTTGCCCTTCATGTTATTCTCCCAGGGGATCCTGCCCATCTGTTCCCTGAGGGAGTCAAAGTCTGGTTTTCTGAAGTCCAGGGTCCGTATTCTGCTGCTCTCCTTTCTTCCTTGTGTCAGGATCCTGAACTCGACCATCTCATGGTCACTGCCTCCCAGGTTCCCATCCACTTTTGCTTCCCCTACTAATTCTTCCCTGTTTGTGAGCAGCAGGTCAAGAAAAGCTCTGCCCCTAGTTGGTTCCTCCAGCACTTGCACCAGGAAATTGTCCCCTACACTTTCCAAAAACTTCCTGGATTGTCTGTGCACCGCTGTATTGCTCTCCCAGCAGATATCAGGGTGATTAAAGTCTCCCATGAGAACCAGGGCCTGCGATCTAGCAACTTCTGCTAGTTGCTGGAAGAAAGCCTCGTCCACCTCATCCCCCTGGTCTGGTGGTCTATAGCAGACTCCGACCACGACATCACCCTTGTTGCTCACACTTCTCAACTTTATCCAGAGACACTCAGGTTTTTCTGCAGTTTCATACCGGAGCTCTGAGAAGTCGTACTCCTCTCTTACATACAACGCAACTCCCCCACCTTTTCTGCCCTGCCTGTCCTTCCTGAACAGTTTATATCCATCCATGATAGTACCATTATGTCAACAGTCATCTGCTGCTGTGGTGCCTATAACTGTTGCAGCATTCTAATGTAGGAGCTGTCTCACCAGTGCCATATAGAGAGAGGGGCTATCACTTCACTGTTCTGGGATGTGACGCCTCTGTGTAAGCAAACTAAAATCACATTAGCTTCTCTTTGTGGCCATATAGCAATGCAAGTTCATATCACTTTTGCACTCTGCAATTCCCTAGGCCCCTTTTCAACATTGCTGCTTTCCAAGTATCTCTCTCCCATTTAATATCTTTCTTCAGATTATTATTCCTCTATTCTGTTAGGTTGCATTTTCCAGTCTGATTTTATTTCTTGCCGATATTTCTAACAACTTCAAGGTATCTCTTATTATTTCTGTCTTCTTTGATATTTGCAACACTTCCCTAGTTAGTATCATCTGTGAATTTAATTATTGTGCTGTTTATCTTTTCTTCCAGATAAATGAGACCAGGTTCTGATCTCACGTATACTAGTTTTACACAAACTTAATTGAAGTTTCACCTGATTTACAATGGTCAGTGAGATCAGAATTGGAGTTATGCTTGTGTGTTTGTGTGAACACCCACAAATGTATAGTGACCTGGATGTTTGTTTTCAGATGATTACTTATTCCTACTGAAAAACTGTCCTAGTATTGAGCTAATTCATTGTCTAACTCAAGAGTGGAATGAGAAACCAGCATTATTATCCATTGGGGCTACGATCCTCTCACTCATTGATACTGATCACAAAGAGCATGGTTTACAACTGTTAGAGGAAATAAACACGGGTGAGAAGAGTAAGTACAGTAAGATGTAATTAACAAACATTTATAGTGAAGTTATGTAAATGTCACATTTCTCTATTTTCATTGCAGTATCTGGGCAGTTCCAAAGCAATTCAATTGTAAATGACAATAAAATGAATACAAAGTTATTGAGGTCACAATCATTTAATTGTGTTAACAAATTTTAATTCAGCTAATTTAAAAACACATAGTTAATCTTTTCCCTTTGTACCATGTGTCCATTGACACTTTCCAAAAAACAAACTCCAAATCCATAAATTATTGTGTCATTGATGCTCCTATTATCCCTAATCTATACTGGAAAGTGATTAAAATCTTACTACTCATGGTACTCCCTTTGATATCAAAAAAGTTACTTTTGCCATCTGCTACAGCCTGCCTTGCTCAGTCCTGTGTTCAGATTAGCACTTTTGGTAGGGTCTACTGCAAGTTCCTGTACTTTCTTCCAGAGTTAAGGACCTTTCTTGGCCATGTAATTTGGCAACTTGGCACATTTGGTTTTTCCCCTTGCAGTGATGATTACTCCCAACTGATGGCCTTATCCTACTCCCGCTGAAGTCAAGAGCAAAACATCCATTAACTTTAAAAATAAATAAATAAATAAATAAAAGGCAGAATTGGGCCACACATTCTCCAGTCTTTCTGCTGGTCGTGGGGTTTCAGACATGATTTTCAGTGCTGTGGTAGGAGGTGCCTTTTAATCTTTATAAATAAAGTAAACACTACTTTTCTGATGGATTTTTGATCAGTTATCTCTTTATTTGGTCCTTGGCCTTAGAATTTATCCAACTGGAAAAAGAATTATTGTTCTGTAGTCATATTATCCCCTAAGATCATGCCTCTTTCTGTTCTTTGTTTAATATGAGCAAAGCAGAAACTGATTGAGGGCAAATACTGTGCCACTACATGATATTTTTTTCTTCATCAGACGCACTGGAACAAGTTATTTTAAATGATACGGTCTGTACCTTGGAAGGTTGGAAGAAGATCGCAGATACATGTGCAGAAAATAAGCATGAAAAATTATCTCAAGAAATTCTCTCGATCCTTACCTCACAGGAAGGAGTGGTTCAGATTTCTCCATTTGATGATGATGATGATGTAAAGATAATGGAACACGTTTTCTTGTAGTTCTTCTGTAAAGCAATTGGTGGAGCTCTAACAACATTCAACCTAAGCATCGTTTTAGTTGCTTCTATGAATTATAGTAAACATTTATCACTCAGAAATAGAGCTGAGACTTCTTTTTGCCATCAAACGTAAATTAGTAGCCCCTTTTAATACGTGTGTGTTAACTGGGAAGGTATTTTCATTGTAGAACAAACTTGGCCTATTTAGTTAATGAATATTGTGAAAGTATGTTTATATATTTCTTTGTATTGAATAGTGCATTCACTTCCCAGTTTTTCTTTTGTTCATCTTTATGCTTCAGTCTCTTTGCTTTTTTGCAGGGAGGGAGGGAATCATCACATGAGTCCCATTGCCAATGAAATTAATAAAATTTTGGGACCTCTGGAAGAAAGGAAGACAGTTGCTTCCTTGGGGCCACATTCTTCTTCAGAGATATGTGTACAGTTCCTATTAACTCCAGTGGGTGTTGCACATGCACATCTGACAATTGAATTACACCATCAGAGACAATCATTAGAGTCTTACTCAGTTCATATTTCTGGCTAAGAGACGGGCATTTCAGCCTTGGGAAAAGGAAGATATTCAAATACGGCCTTTGCCAACAAATAAACTGGGTTTGCATTAGCAGAGCTTTTCAAAGGTGTGGGCATGAGAGCTGGAAACATCAAATACTAATTTAAACGGGAAGAATGCAGATCCGTTTTTATTTATCCTTCCATTTAGTTTAAACTGAATTAGTTCATGATCACTCAAACCACGGTTGTCCTTTACAACCAATTCTTCTATGTGGTCCTCACTACTCATCAATACCAAATCTAAAATGGCATCACCTCTTGTTGGTTCAGCAACTATTTGGTGAAGAAATCTGTCAGCTATCACATCCCGGAAAATCTGGGCCCTACTATTATTAGTAGCACTTGTCCTTCAATCTGTATCTGGGAAGTTAAAGTCTCCCATAATCACACAATTCCCAGTAGAATTTATTTCATTAAAAATATTAAAGAGGTCTCTATCCATACCCAGATTGGACGCTGGGGGTCTATAGCATACTCCAAGCACTATCCACGGGAGCCTTTCTTTTCCAAAGTGATTTTGACCCAAACAGACTGTCTTATCCAGTCCACCCCTTATAATTTCTTTGCAGTCTACCTCATAATTAATATACAATGCCACTCCACCATCTTTGCCTTTATTTCTGTCTTTCCTGAACATCAAATACCCTTCAATATCTGTACTCCAGCCATGACTATTATTCTACTATTTCTGTTATCTCTATTATAACTGGTTTCACTTCCTGCATCAGTACTATTAGTTCATCCTTTTTGTTACCCAGGCTCCTTGCATTCTTGTACATACATCTTAATTGTTGCTCCTTGGCCTTGCCCACATTCCTTGCCAAATTGGGTACAGTCATTCTGCCAGTATCGCCTACCTGATTGTTAGCTTCATTGGTATCGGCACGATCTTTCCCCTTAATGTCCATTCTCCTACCCACTGCTGTTCCTTTCTCCATTGCTGTATCCTTTCTTACTTGATTTACCTCCTTCTCAATGTTAAAATCAGGCATGGATTACATGAGCATTTCCCATCTCCCCTGAGTTCCTAGTTTAAAGCTCTTTTAATGAGTTGTGCTAACCTCCATCCCAGAAGTCTGTTTTCTTTGAGTGCTGTCCCTGTAGGTGTTCTACTCTAGGTGTCGGAGCATCCCGGTGCCGTTGATCGGAGATTTTCGGTATCAGTGCCTGGTTGGGACACAGGTGCTCAGTTGGTATCTCCCATCTCGTTGGAATCTTCCTGAGCGTCCACGTCCCGCACCCCCCTCAGTTCCTTCTAAACTGTCCCTGGCTGAAGACGGAACTCGGGGCAGTGCTGATCCTCTTCCCTGGTCTCTGTAGGAAAAATTAACAAAGAATACAGAAATACTTATTAGTTACATCCCAGTTGTTTCCCTTCTTTTAGTATAGTTACATAGTTAGTTACTTAGTTTAAAAAAAAATACTTTTTCGCTTCAGGCTTGCATCCCGCTGAGACACTCTCCCCAGTAGCGTAGCTAGTGGGGTGCAGGGGAAGCAGCTGCTTCCCCTCAGCACATTTTCAAAAAGTGGCATGCCTGCCAGCCGGTGCTAATCTCCTGCAGGCAAGGGGGGGCAGCACGGCCGGAGGAGCCATGGGGAGGGGGCGGCACGACCGGAGGAGCGAGGGGGGGCGCAGCAGGGCGGCCCACAGCGTGCCCCACAGCCAATGGGGGGGCAGCGGGCGTGGCCAGAGGAGGCAGAGCAGGGGGGGGGCGCAGCATGGCGGCCCGCACAGCGTGGCCGGCAGCTGCGGCCGGAGGAGCGAGGGGGGGGGGCGCAGCAAGTTGGCCCGCAGCCACAGCCGGAGGAGTCATGGGGAGGGGGTGGCGCGGCCGGAAGAGCGAGGGGGGGTGTAGCAGGGTGGCCCACAGCGTGGCCGGCAGCCAATGAGGGGGGCGGTGGGCGCAGCCGGAGGAGGCAGAGCGAGGGGAGGGCGCAGCAAGGCGGCCCGCAGCGCGGCCGGCAGCCGTGGCCGGAGGAGCAAGGGGGGGGCGCAGCATGGCGGCCGGCAGCCAATGGGGGGGCGGCACAGCCGGTGGAGCCAGCCAAGGGGGGGAGGCGCGGAGCCAGAGGAGGAGCCAAAGGGGGGGGGGCGCCTTTTTTATGTTTGCTCCCCCTGCTCTTAGATCCTGGCTATGCCACTGTCTCTCCCCTGCCATTTCTAATTCACAATGCCAGGGGCTTCAGGATTCAAAAAGTGTGTTTCCTGTCAGGACTCCATGCCACGGTTGGATGGGCACTCACATTATGTGAAGTGCCTCGGCTAAACCCACATCCCCGCAAAGTGCCTCCACTGTACAAGCCTCAAGTCAAGGGCTTGGCGCGACAGGGACCTGCAGCTTAAAATGCTTCTCATGGAAAAATCCCTGCAGCCACTTTTGGAGACAGGGAAAGTAAAACCCACTCCCACACGCGCCCCAGCCAGATCTGAACCAGTTGGGAGCGTTGCTTTACCATCTCTGGAGCAGTAAGAAGCACGGCAGTTTCACAGGAGTGACTCTGACAAGGGTAAAAGGTCTCCCGCGAGATCCTTACCCTCTGTGCCGACAGAGCCACAGGCAGGCGCCTCAGCTCTTTCTACAGCCTCAACCACGGCTCCTGCAGAACGCAGAGGCAGGAACCCAACCTCCCGTACTGGGAAGGTTTCCGTGGCACCGAGCACCTCAGCGCTAAAAATAGCTGCGGTGCTGGCTGCGCACTCTGCCCCGATGCCAACAAGGATGTGGGCACCAACCCCCTCCGCGGGAGAAATAGCCGCAGTGCTGGCTGTGTGCTCTGCCCCGGTGCCAGGAAAAACATTGGCACCGAGCCTGCCTCCTGCCCCAGCACCAGTAGTGGACACCCTGCAGGGCATCTCCAACAGACCCGTGGCACCGCTGACACTTTCACTTTCACCTGCTAACGTGCTAGAGCACAGTTCAGGCTCAGCACAGCCCAGGGAGCAGGAGCAACAGTTCCTCACTCAATGTGACCTCTCAGTGCCACCTGAGCCTAACTCTCTGCTTCTGGAAACACAGGGCTCACTCTTAGAACAGCCGTTCTCACCACCTGAACTGGCTACCTTCTCTAATAGTGAACCCGATGTACAGTAACAGGCAGAGTTCTCCCCACCTGCCTCTCCTCCTCCACTGGAACCTCTTCCACCTCAGGCTACGGTCCACAGCCACCAGCCTCAGTTTCCCTACTTCGCCCCCCCATGGGCGGCATCTGGGTTCTCCTACCCTATGCCTTGGCCTCAGTGGTACCCTTGGCCACATCCTCCTACCACTCATCCTCAGACCTCTGTGCCTCGATCTCCAGCTCTGTCCACTTCTAAAGTACCTGAACCCCCTCCTGAGAATGTGAGCTACAAACCATATCCTGACTCACCGAACCCTATTTCTCCCTCTGCTCCGGATGGAGCCCTCTCCCCCCCGCCTCCACAGACCCTGGACAACTGTAAACAATTTCAAGAGCTTTTCAAGAGGGTGGCACTCAGTCAAGACATCCCCCTAGAAGAGGTTCAGGAGACACAATACAAACTCCTCAGAATCCTTCAACCCTCTGCGCCCGCAAAGATCGCGCTCCCTATAAATGAAGCACTCCTGGAACCAGCTGACACTCTCTGGCAAACTCCAGCTTCTTTATTACCAACCTGCAGAAAGGCTGAACGTAAATAATATGTTCCTGCTAAGGACGCTGACTTCCTATTTTCTCACCCACAACCAAACTCTCTTGTCATCAATGCAGTCGCACAAAGGACGAAACAGCCACAATCTCAGCCCACCCTGCAAGACAAGGACCTTAAACGCCTTGACGTCTTGAGTCGCAAGGTTTACACGTCCTCCACTCTACAATTCAGGATTGCAAACTACTCTGCACTCCTTGCCAGCTACGACTTTGATAACTACAATAAACTTTTTGAATTCGCCTCCTACATTCCAAGGGACAGGAGAGCAGACTTTAAATCAATTCTGAGCGAGGGCCAATTGATTTCCAGAACGGCCCTACAAGCCTCTTTAGATACAGCTGACACAGCAGCCCGTACTACTGCAACTGCTGTGGTTATGGGCAGATCTTCATGGCTTTCTGCATCTGGCATCCCTAAAGATCTGCAGACCAAAGTGGAGGACCTCCCCTTTGATAAAGACAAACTGTTTTCCAAAAAAAACGATGAACTACTTCACACCATGAAAGATTCTAGAGCGACACTGCGCACCCTGGGCATTCACCCATCTCTTCCCAGGAGACAATGATACCAACCCTACCAAAGACCGCGCACACAACAATATTATCGGCCTCAATCCAAACCATACGACGTAAATAGGAATCACGCTAGACCCCCCCTAAGCACAGACAAAATCAAGCTCAAGCAACCACCTCCCGCCCATCTGGGAATAAACAACAATTTTGAAACGTTGGTCGAGGGTCTGCGCGACCACCCCTTGATTCCACAGCCTACTTCCCCATTTGGCCACCGCCTCCAGAGTTTCCAACATACCTGGCAGCAAATTACATGGG